TCCTCAGAGGTATTGAAGTCAATGGGAGTTAGGCGCCTAAATCCATTTGAGGATCTAGGCCTTACTTCTGTAAAAAAGATGGGCCTGATCCTCCTTTCACATACACCATTGTTAAATAGAAATGCTAATAATTTCCACACACCATGTGCTTTGAATGGGAAAAACTATCAAAACAAAGCACTGATATTACAGAGTAGTTCTTTTAGTTAATGTACATAAGTACAGGTTAGACAAACATTTCTCAGGGATGGCCTAGGTATACTTAATCCTGCCTCAGTGCAGGAAGTAGAGGACCGCTTGAGGTCCCTTCCTGCCCTACACTTCTACGATTCTATCAGTTCTGAGAAAGGGCTGTCAAGGAAAAGCAAGCATACACTGATGGCTCTCTTATTTTAAGTCAGGTTAGCAGATAAAAGATACCAAAGTTGTGCAAATCAATTCATATTTGTACTTTAACTTTGTCTTGGCCATTCAGCAGTTGGCCATGCCAGATCCAACTGCCATTAAAAGTCAGTGGGACTTAAGCACACTAAGGAGCAAATGTTGTCTGAGCACTGACAGATGTGGGCTAGTGGGTTTGAGTACTGAGCTATGAATAAGAAATTACTCAGGCTATGGCTACACTAGAGAGCTTACAGCTGAGCTGCGCCACTTTAAGCTCTCTAATGTAGCCGCTCTATGCCAACAGGAGAGAGCTCTCCCGTCGACTTAATTAATCAACCCCCAATGAGCAGCGGTAGCTATGTCGGTGGTAGAACCTCTCCCACTGATATAGCGCTGTACACACCAGCGCTTAGGTTGGTGTAACTTAGGTCGGTTAGGCAGGTAGCATAGTCACACCCCTGAGCGAGATAAGTTATACCAGGGATCGGCAACCTTTGGCACGCAGCCCGCCAGGATAAGCCCCCTTGCGGGCCGGGCCAGTTTGTTTACCTGCTGCATCCGCAGGTTCAGCCGATTGCGGCTCCCACTGGCTGCGGTTCACCGCTCCAGGCCAATGGGGACTGCGGGAAGCGGCGGCCAGCACATCCCTCGAACTGCAATATCCAGTGGGGTGAGGAAAAACTGCTTAATATAGATGTTGCCCAGTCTAATAGGGTTGAGAGTTTAGACTGAGTGCTTATATTTTCTTTTCTTTTGGTAACCACTCTGACTTTTTGCCTATCACTTATAATCACTTAAAATCTATTTTTTGTAATCAATAAACTTGTTTTACTGTTTATGTTTACCAGTGAGTTTGCCTGAAGTGTTTGGTAAATCTGCTCAGGTTTACAAAGACTGGTATATATCCACTTTCCATTGATGAAGTGGTGAACTAATTAATAAACTTGCACTGCTCATCTTGAGCAGTGCAGTATGGTATATTCCTGAGGTACAAGGCTGGGAGCTGGGAGGATTTGGCTGGTACCTTTCTCTGTGTGATTCATGAGTGGCTCTGGGAGCATTTGTGCAATCTATCTGGGTGTGGGGCTCCACATGTGGTTGTGCTGAGTGATAACAGCACCTGGAGGGGTTTGCTGCTTGTCACTAGCAAAGCATTGTGAGAGACAGCCCAGGCTGGAGAGTTAAGGGGGCACAGCAGTCCCACAGTCCCAGGCTGCACCCCGGGGATCCTGTCACAATCATGATGGATCCTTACCTTAGCATGTTAATATAGTAGAATTTGGCTAACAGAGACAGTGTCATGGGCAGAGACAAATCACAATAAACAGCCATCCCTACTGACAAAGACGTCAATCCTCCAAACACTTATATAGGACTTGTCTATACAAGAAAGTTGCACCCCTAAAGTGTAAATGTAAACTGTTATAGTTAACACAGTGCAAACTCCTGTGTTATTTCAGTTTGAGTGCTTTTTTTCTTTTGTTTAGCTTGAGTTGATTGGGAACCAGTTAAATCAAGCCAAAACAAGACACTCAAACTAAAATAAAAGTATCCATCCAGAGATTTGTATTGCTTTAGTTATAATAGTACTCCCAACCTCAAAACATTCAAACACAAATAATCATGAGCTTGGCTTAAAAATGACTAGAATTTAAAAATAATAAATGTAGTGATCTTTTAACCCGTTATCTGTTTCCTGAGCCTTTAGCGTGTACTTGAGTCACATTTTCAGACTTTTCTCCACACCCATGAGGGCTAGAAACATTTATGTTTTAGATGAAGTCTGAGATTCCCACATAACAACATAGGTTCTGGGGCTTGAAGAAAAACACAAAATATATGAGACTTGCAATAAAATCATGAAAGTTGATGACACTGCAATGTCATTTCAAAACCAAGGTAAGTTACAAACTGGTGCAACTTTCCCATGCTGGCCACGCTTTAGATTGGAACCTTGTCACAGCAGCTGTTACTATGTGCATACAGCACCTAGCACAACAGAGCCCTGATCTCAACAGGCCTCTAGGCACTGGTCCTATTGGGTTCTGGGAAGCGGACAGGCGCAAGCCCACCCATTGCTCAAGGACCTTCCCCCAGCCTTCGGGGAGGATCCACAAGGTCCAGGAACTCAAATAATTACGGGGGACAACCAAAAATGTAACACGGGCAGGTGTGAAGGTCAAAGGGTCAAACAAAGGGAGCCCAAAGGGGACACCAAGCAGAGAATGCCAGACAGTTCCCACTGCTTCTCGAAGGTGTCAAGGGAGCCAGCAGATGCCACCCAGAGGAACTCCGCCCAGATGCGTGAATGGAGGGCTGACCGGAAATAGGCCCCACAATAGCAAAGAACTCCCTCAGCCAACATCCTCTCCCTGCTGTTGTAGATGGCCGCTTTGGCCATCGCCAGGAGGAAGTTGACAAGGAGGTTCCGCAACTTTGTGGGGCCATGGATAGGGTGTGAGTATAGGAAAAGGTGAGGGGGAAAGTGCAGCCAGAAACGTAAAAGGATGTTCATGAGGAGCCGAAACAGGGGCTGCAACCTGGCGCACTCCAGGTATACATGTGCCAGGGTCTCCCTCATGCTGCAAAAGGGGCAGGCGTCAGGGACGGGGGTTAGGCGCGCCAAGTACATGCCCGTGCTCACGACTCCATGGAGGAGCCGCCAACTAATATTCCGGTGGGCCTTAGGACTAGGGTGGAATATAGGCTGGCCCACTGGGGTTCTTCACTCTCAACAGGTGGCAATAGGTCCCGCCACTTCATATCAGGGCGGGACATGAGGGTGAGGAAATGGAGGATGTAAAGCACAAGCATGTACAGGTGTTTCCTTGGTGTGTTTCAGAAGCGAACCGGCTGCAAATCGTGGAGCCGGCTTGTAGTGTATGGATGGGACTAGGGTGGCCAGATGTCCTGATTTTATAGGGATGGTCCTGATATTTGGGGGCTTTTTCTTATATAGGCTCCTATTACCTCCCACCCTGTCCTGATTTTTCACATCTGTCCCTATGTGGGACAGATGGGGAGGCTCATGGGGCAGGGGCCTGATGAAAAGGTCCGGAGGGCCTGGGGTGCAGGGTGGGCGAGGAACACCCTCCCGCAGGACCCAGTCGAGGTAAACCTGAGCAGTGGGCAGTAAGACTGCCCTCATCTCCTGAAGTATGCACCGGGGAGTACGAAGGGCAAAGAGCCCCATGCACTGAGCAAGCGTCAGGGGATCCACCCAGTCTCCGAGTCCATGGTCATAGTCCAGGTGGTCTCCGACTTTGGTGACTTCTGCCAGGACCAATAACATCTGTGACAGCCAGACATTCCCGAGACAGTC